ATACATAACTTCCAATCGAATTCTGCTTGGTACATTCTTAAAATACACACTATATTCTTAAAAAATTATATATATATGTAAATAAAACACTCATTCCATTCCAATTCAATTCTATCATTAATATTCATTAAAATCTTAACATCTTTAACATTTCTTTTCAATTGAATATCATACTTCCTTGTGAACACTTATAAACTTTCTATAATTAATTTTTTTTCCATGTTTCTCTTCATTTATATTTTTATAAATCATTAATAATAATTAAAGTGTTCCCATGCTTTCCTAATTTCATTCTCTCATTCACTTTATTTCATTTATTTATTAACAAATATTCTACTGCATTACAATAAATATTTTATCCATCATTTTAGTCATCATATTTTCTGAAATTATTTCTATTTCTAATATAACAATACTATCTTATGTACCTCTGCAGAATCCCTTTTTCAATTAAATTTTCACCCATTATCTCTAAACAGGCTTATACTTTCAATCCTTATACCTTTTCTCTGTTTCTCTATATCTTGTTTCTGTCTTTTATAGCTTCTTTTCCTTTCCTTCTTCCTCCTCTTCTTCTCCCTCCCCTTTTTACCCCCTTGTCCCTCTACTTCTAATTCTCTCTTCTGTAATCCCTTCTTCTGTTGCTTTCTAATATTGTAATTATTTTTCAAACTATTCTCTTTTTTTTCGTTGTTTTTTCAAATCTTAAACTTTTCACTTTCTTTCTCCCCTTTCCTCCCCCCCACATAAAATTACTTGATAATTAAAGATGGGTTCTTCTTTGTCCCAATCTTCTTGTTCTACAAGCGTTTCTTGTTGTTTCTCATAGTTCCAGATCTCCATTTCTAAGAATTGAAATACGAAGCCAAAAGAACCTCTTCCTTCTTGTGCACCTTCTTTCTGTTTTTTAAGTTCTATTTTCAGTTCTTCTAAAAGTGATGCCATTTTAAACACTTTTAAACAACCACCGATTGATTTTAGTCATTTAAATGCAATAGCCAAAAATCCAAAAATCACCAAGTAATCCAAATAACCCAAAGCTGTTTCTTCTTGCTTCTTTTTTCCACTTTCTCTTCCTGGGGTTCTATTATTTTGTTACAAAGTTTCAGTTAAAATGTATCTTTTAGGAATCTTGTTATGGTTTCACTGTAAATTCCTTTTAGTTCCAGGCTGTCTCCTCCATTTTTCCAGATCCTGCCCCTTTATTCTTTTTCTCTCCTTTCCTGCTTTTAAAAGCTTTTAAATATCCAAAAATCTTTATTACCCCTTTGACATTTTATTTTCAGCTTAAATGCCTATTAATGTCAAAGTGGATTTTTGTCAATTTCTTGCTTAAGTCTCTAAGCTATCAGTATAAGGAAGAGAACAAAAAAAAAGCCAAATCCTTTCCCTTCCCTCTCTCCTTCACTGCTTCAAGATCTTCTTTGGGAACAATGTTATTTTTTATAGTTTAAATTCCAGGTTACCTTACGTTGTTGCTTTTTAAGTTTAACCCAGTCAACCAAAACTTTATCTTCTTATCTTCCTCCTGCACATTCTTTTCCAGTCAAGTTCTTCTTTGAAGTGGCCATTTCTGACCACTGCTGCAACCACCTTTGGTAAAGGGAGTAATGGCCAGCTGGGGAGGAGAGATGCAGCTCTCCTTATCCCTGCTGGTAGTCTCCCCCCTCTTCACCACCTCTACAGGGTGGCTTAGCCCCAAAACCAGTGGCTCGGGGCGCTCCGGCGGCAAGCATGGATCAAAACCGCGCATGATCACACATTTCAGTCCATCGTCGAAGGAGCTCAAACTGGAAGTCAGATTGGTCTGTAATTTTCAACTAGGCTGGGGTCTCCCTTTTTGAAGATGGGGATGACCGTGGCTTGTGAACATTGTTTTGGCAAGGAGCTGGTCCTGAAAGATTTTTCAAAGATTATGCTTAGAGGTTCAACTATGTCAATGGATAGCTTTTTTAAGAAGTAAGCACATATTCCGTCCAGTCCAATAGATAGGGATGGTTTTAGATGCTTAGTGCTTTTTCAACAATGTCTTCTGTAAAATCGATATGTATTAGATCATTGTAGTTGTCTGTGGCTCGACTAGGAAGTACTGGGCTTGATCCATTGCTGTTTACTGAGCCAAAGAATGTGTTAGAGGTTTGCTTTGATGGTGTTGTTGTTGCAGTCGTTGCCATTAGGTCCTTTCAGTGGTGGGATGGATCTTGAGTCTTTTACTTTGTTGTTTACAAAATTGTAGAAAGCATGGGTGGAATTTGTGCACAGAAGGTTTTCCTCTTGTTTAATGTGATAATTAGTGCATTCAGTTTTTATCTGGTGGCATACATTTTTGTATTGGCTTTTAAAGCTGGCAACATGACCAGATTTGTTTTTTCCCCAAAGTGATCTCTTTTTGGATTGAAGCTTCCTTATTGTTATGGATAATCTGTTTTTCCTGGTTTTGGGAGTTGTTATTGGTACATATAGTTTGATGGCTCTTTTCTAGTAATGGTCTTCAACAGTATTGCATCTAGTGAATAGAAATTGCCAATCAAGAGAAGAGAGATCGTTGATTATAAGATCAGAGTTGCCTTTTTTGAAGTTATAATTGGGGATTTTGTCGTGATGATTTTTGTGTGGACATATGTTGAGACAAAAGTCAATCATGTTGTGGTCACTGTTGGAAAAGCGTTTTTTAATTTGTATTCTGTAAATTGCATTCTAACTATTGCAGAAGATGAGATCGAGGCGGTTGTTAAGCCTAGTATTGTTGGTTACTAGTTGTTCCAGTCCCAGATTTGTTACAGCATTGTAGAAGGTTGCATGTGTGGGTTCAGTTGCACATTCATTTAGGGTCCAGTTAATATGAGGTAGATTGAAGTCACCAAGAAGGATAAAAGCGTGTGGGCAGGATGCTGCCCATGTTAGTAGTGTATTTAGCTTGTTTACATGTTCGATGTCATAATCAGGGTCTCTGTAACATAGCAAGAACCAAAATGTGATATTTAAGGTCAGTTCACAGATAATGGTCTCAGGAAGAGCAAGCTCTTGGGTAACTTGGATGTTTTTTAGATGTTAGGACTTTTTATAGAAGATAGCAACATCACCTCCTCTATGGATTTCATGATCAGATTGGTAAACATGATAGTCTCTTACTGAGATAATGGAGTCAGGGAGAGATGCGTTGAGCCATGTTTCACAGACAAATGTAATGTCGTATTTAGCCTTATTTAGTAAGAGGAGAAATTCAGGTATTTTATTTACAAGGCTTCTTGCATTCAGTAGCTTGCATTTAAGGCCAGTTGTAGGTTGAATTGAGGTAGTTGGGGGCATGTGTGGCTACTCTTGGATGATGATGGATTGGTTGAAGTAGGGTTGGATGCTGAGTTGTGGGTTGTGTGACTTTCTTTTGATACAATCTGCATGGTAATCAATGTACAGGTCCTTCTCTCCATTGTCTAGATGATTTTTGAGTTCTGTGTGTAGTATATGGAAGCGGGCACTTTGCTGTAAGGTTACTTCAGGATGAGATTGGAGGTTTTTATGGTTGGGGTTGTTTTTGGTGAGTGAATTTATAGTATAAATGAATTTACATTTGCTTAATTAATTTTTGCAAATGACCCTGCAGAAGCATGGGGGTCACAGAGCCATCTCTGTTTTTGAGCTCTCAACCAATGTGGGAAATGTCAAGTATTTCATCTTGGGAAATGGTTGGTGCTTGATAGTCACTGATGATGTTGTGGACAATTGTGATATCATTGTTATTGATGTCCTCCAGACCAAATAAGATGGCGTTAGGATGCTTTCGTTCATGCTTGACAGCTTCTCTGACGAGGATTGGGATATCATTATTTGTTGGATTTATGTTTTTTTGTGGATTAGGTTGAAAAAATATGGAACGCTTCATGAATTTGCGTGTCATCCTTGCACAGAGATTATATTATATATTATTATATTATATATTATATTATATATTATTATATTATAAGAAGGATATAGAATAAGATGAACTTTACTTACTAAAGCTGAGTGATGTTTAATCATTAAAAAGGATATGTGAACAATAGGCCAGAAGAATATTTTGTACAACCTTTTTATACTGGATTTACAACATTGATAAATGTTGGTGATTTTCTGAGAAAAGAAAAATAAATGAAAAGAAAGCATATGCTGGGATATTATTTGAGGGGACCGAGGATCAAGATTTTGGGAGTAAGGAGAAATGATACAAAAAGGGCTTATTTGATCAAGGATAAAATGGGCTTTGGTTATTTTTGCCAATTTTGAAAGGATTTTTTTAAACTAGAACTAAAAAATAATGTTCTAAGTTTTTGTTTTAATGATAAGAGGTTATTTGCTAGATTTAAATTTTTTCTGATTAAGTTTAAAATAGTTGAGGTATCATTTTTGGTACTCTTTATTGGTTGTATTTGATTAGTTAGGTTAGGTTGGGGGATTTGCTTAAGAACAGACAAAGAAATATAAATATAAAAGTAGGAAATTAAGTAGATTTATTAGATTTATTAAGTTTATAATAGATAGGTGGTTGTTTCTGGTAAACCTTACTGGACATTTATTGATTAGGAAGAAAGATGAGGATTTTTATGTTTATTGAGAATGAGGTAAGGTATAAGGTGAAGTGGTTTGTTATGTTTTAAAAAGTGGTGATATGTTTTTAAAGTATATATTTGCTAGGAAAAAGGGAAGTTACTTCTTTTTTTTTGTTCTTTGATTCCCCTCCCCCCATTTTTCACTTTTCTTTTTACTTTTTTTTTGTCTTTTATGGCTTCTGTTAGTTTCATTTAAAATTTAGACGAGCCCCCAATAGCTTAGCATTTGTCTAGGGCTCCGTGTGAAATACTGAGAGCTAGGAAAGCAGCAACATTTTGTTATCTGCCATTCATGGATTGATGTTGGTTATTCATTCTGGAGAAGCAGGCAACAGACATTAATAATAGCAGACTGTTATATGAACATGCACTTTGGAATACACATGTGTTTGGGCCATGCAATCATCGGTCAACCTGCTAGATTTGCACCAAGAGCTCCCAAGTCAGCAAAAGGATCCAGAGTTTGTGGTTTGGCTTGATGTGTGGGGGTGTTGTGCAATGATCCTGTAGGGCTGGAAGCAGTTGATTTGCTCACCATACCTATTTGATGTAAGAAGAGAGAAACCACATTTATGAAATATAATTGAATGGCCTCAGAGCTGAAACTAGCACAATGCAATGCATAAACTAGTTGGCTACTCAACAGAAGCAAAGCATATCATTCGTAGAATTGTAATTTGGAAATAGGTCTTTCTACAAGGTCTGCATTGAAGATATATTCAATTCAACAGCATTGAACAAGTCTCAACAAGCATCCAAATAACCTTTGGCAAACTAGAGTAGAAAAAAACCCCATCTGAGTTACTTTTTCATTAAATCATGTTATTAAGTAAACAGAGAAGAAAAAACTTGGCTTGTGTACTATAAAAAGGCTTTTGACAACTAGATAAATATAAATAGCAGCATGTATAACTTGTAGCACATATGCAATTTTAAAATCTCTATAATACATCAAATAGTTCTCTGGAGTTAATATTTTTCTATTTCATTAGGATTTCTGTACTACCTTTGGGCAGTTCTTCAAAATTTAAGATATTGAAGTTAGATGTGTTGTGTCCATTGAACAAGCATACTTTCAAAACTCAAGTAACAATTGCTGGAGGGTGATCCCCGCTTACATCCCTGATAGGAATCTAATTGCCACTTCATTTAGAGAGAGTCAGTTAGGTGTAGTGGTGACGGCACCAGGCTAAGAACTTGGGCACAATAAGTTCTAATCCTGCCTTAGGAATGGATCCAGATGTGTGATTTTAGGCCAGTTATTCTCTCTCAGCTCTAGGACAAAGGCAATTGCAAAACACTTCCAAAAATTTTGCTAAGCAAATTGCAATGACTGGTTCACCAGGAATCAATACAAATTTGAAGGCACCCTCCATCCCAATTAGTGCTATGTATGTCATCTTGAGCTCTTGAAGGGAAGGTGGGATATAAATCTTACAAACAACTACTTAGAAACAGATGATGAATGTCACAGCGCTTAGGTGAACACCTTTCATATAAATCATCTTAAATATATTAGATATTAGTCTCACCCGTTCAAGGTTGACTCAGCCTTCCATCCTTCCGAAGTGGTAAAAGAGGACCCAGATTGTTGGGGGCAACATGCGGACTATGTAAACTGCTTAGAGAGGGCTGTAAAGCACTAAGTGCTATTGCTATTGCTATAAATCATCTTAAACAGATATTAGTTTCAGACAAACCTGATTTACTAGGCCATTCCCAGTCTCCTGAAATATCTGGCTGAATGGAAACAGTTGGTGTACTGGAAGGACCTTAAAAGATAAACATTGCCATTTAGCAATATTTTTAAAATAATAATATAAAAAGTTATCTGTGCATTTGCTCTAGCTTTTATCACATTGTTTCTGGGAAATTCACCATGTTTCTCATTAAATAAATATATATGCAATTTTCTCAAAATAAATAGCTTGTGAGTACAAGTTTCATCAGAAATGAATATCTAAAATGTTTTCAATTCATTTTCACAAAATCAATAGGCATGCTTTTTGTCATCTGGAAAATTCAGGTTCATGAACTTTATATAGGAAGAAGTTATCATGCAACCCTTAAAAACTGTCATGCAACAATGCCTATTAAAAATGCCTAAACCACAAGTAGCCAACATGTTCCTAATGGATACCAATGCACTACTATGTTCCCAATTCCATAGCATAGGCTGTTATGACTATTGTGTCCAGGTATTTTTGGACCTTCGACATTTTAGATTTTTATTTTTTTTTCAATCCTTTCCTTGTCCTTAGCTATGGATGCATAACCTTCGCTACGATAGTATAAATCCTGGAGTTGATCGTATGTGCATAACCTCATTCTGAAATATCGGCAGGGTCAAAGTTCAAAAAATGGCTCATGTGTGAACTGGAGTTCTCAATAAGGAAATATCAGCTGTGCCAATGTCCAGCAGATCATTGGGTGAAAATTGATATTATTTGCCACCACAAAGATTTTCTTCATGATATTGGATGAAAAGCAGAAGGCAAAATATTGCTTCAGCAATTGAAAGCTTGGAAAATAAGCACTTGACACTCTGAGTATGAAAAAGGCCTCTACTTCAGGTCAACAGACAATGTTAATGACTTAATGTAAGCAAAAATTTCTCATGCAGCCACGCCACTTTGAGTGTCTGGGAAGCATCTGCCAAGGTTGAATCAGATCACTGGGGTTGAACAGATTTTTTGCAAATAAGATCTTATTCACATTTTTTAAAAACTATGAGAGTTTTTCCAAAAAGCTTATTAATCACCATACAATGGTATGCTATTTGACCTGCAAACAATTTGAACTGTGGTTTATTGTTCTTAATTAAATGAACATGGATATTTTACTGCTGAGTAGATACTGAAGGATTCAATCTGGGTCAGTCACCAGAAAGAGAAGTGCTCTGAGGATGGCTCCAGCACGAGACTGAAAGCTCGAAATACTAAACCTCTGGTCCCGGTGACTGACCCAGATTGGATCCTGCAACATTATCCTTTATATCCCAGCAGTATATTTGCCTTCATTCATGAACAGTTCCTGTTCACAGCAGTATCTTAAAGAAATTGGAAAATAAAGCATCTTACTTCTTCCATTTGCAAATAACCCACATTTCAAGAGGGAAAAGGTCAGTACCATCAATTGTTTTTCTCATAATTCAAAAATAAAAAAAGACATCATACCCATGTTAAAAGGATCCCCTTGCACTGTAGGTGAAGGACTTCTTGTTGCTTGAAGAAAAGGATCACTTTTGGCATTTGATGAAAGGAAAGAGCCTAAAAGATCTGGGACAGGTTGCTTAGGACTACCCCCAAATGGGTCAAAGGCAGATGCTGGGGGGAAAAAGGTTAATTCTAAGAGCATGCTTCTCCTTTCTATTCCAATACTGGGCAATATACTTATATTTTAAAGAAATTGTGTAATATTCTTAACTTTACATAAACTGTCATTAAGGTGAACCACTGCCCAAGCAAGTGTCACCATTCTTTTAATATAATGGTAAAAATGGAAAAGGGAGATTGCAGCAGTCATTAGGTTGAGGAAAAACAACATTGAACTCATGCTGTGGGGATGATAGATGACACACAGCTTTCAACAAATACTTATCAAGAACGCCTGTTGTCACAATGTAAATAGGCAATTGCATTGGTAAAGGATTATATCTGGAAGGGCACAGGACATGCCAGTGGGTGTCATAACACACCCTGCTCCCTTGGCATATACAATCCAGCTAGAGAAAGCACTCGGGTAAATAATACCTGGTTAGCATTACATCTAGTTGATAGAATTCACAATTCTTTGCAGAAAGCAAGCAACCAGAGTAGCAATAGATAAAATCAGCAAAAGCCTAATAAAGCATTGCTTGTTAAAAATGGATTTTTTTTCATCTTGCTGTCCTTATTGTCTCCTAGCTTTCCTCCTACTGTTTAAAGATCAGTTGTTGGGATCAAAACAACAAAAAGTGTGGTTCTGGCCTGGATCTTACATTGCCTATATTCATAGTCTCTCTCTTGAAATATACAATAGGCTAGAAAGGATTGAAAATATACATAAGAAATTCTCCTGTTCTCTTATCTGCCAGTGCAATACTATGCTTGTTCTACAAAAAAAATCCAGATTTTCCTGAGTTGCATAAAATAGCGGAAGTGAAGAAACTGCTGGTAAATAGGGAAAATTGGCCAGCACTAAATGGAAGTCTTTACATCTGAGTTCTGAGGAGAGAATTTTTAAAAAAAATCTTCTCTCCACATCTTAAAATATAGCAGTTAGTAGCTGTACAGACTAATAATCACGAAGAGTAATGTATAAATCCAAAGGAAGACACAACTCTTTCATGAGGAATCTTGTTTGGCATCAATTGCTTAAAGCGAACTTTGTTTGTAAAGCACTGTAAGGTTATAGTTAAGATTTTTGTTTTTTTACCTTCTCCTATTCTTGGGGACAACGATGGGGAGGCTGAAGATGCAGGCCGCCGTGGAGTTGACTGTGCTGAACCAGTTCCACCCATCTGAAAGACATCTTCAACAGCTCCCTGACCGCCTTGATTTAATCCTCCAGAATTTCCAACCCCAAAAAGGTCACTCAGCAAGTCTGAGTTAGATGGTGGTGCAGTGGGGGCTGCCGGATAGTTCATAGGAGTGCCGTCCAAACCTAAAAGATCTACATCCTCTTGTGGAGGTGGGCCTGGCTTCTCTGGCTGCTTTTTGCTGTGCTTTGAAGTGCTGTGAATTTTGTCAGTGCTAGTGCCACTGTGCTGACTGGAGAGGGATAAGAGTTCGTCATCAGATTGCTCGCTTTCTTCATGGACCAGTGCTGCCCTGTCCTCAGAGCTGGGATGAGAACTGGTTCTTTCTGCCTTTTGATCTAAGTAGTAAAAACAGCTTAATGTTAGCTAGCAACTTTGTGGTTCTTCTAAGGCAGGAAAAAAAAAATCCTTGGGGTGAAAACAGCCCCATGTGAAAGCAGACAGTACCAAGAATAATAATTAAGTACTACTGTTTAATTCTCAATGCACAGAGAACATCCAAACTATAAATGAATGTATGGTGTTTGCGTTCAAGTGATTTTACAGCCATACATTTCTGTGTGGAGATAGCAAGAATAAATCTGGCTGGCTCAAAAATGTGAACTAAATTCCATGCGCATGCAGGTATTTTGTATAAATTAAAGAATGCCTGTGGAATATGGTGTAATACGTACGAGATCCCTGAAAAGAGGCTGGAAGATGAAGGAGGAAAGGAAACTAATAATGAGCTGTGAGTTCTGAAAGAGAGATTACTTAAGGAGAAATCATATGTACCTTGCCAGCTGAGAGATGACAAGAATGCACCCTGGCCAACATTCTTTAGGTTATCTTGCACTGCATCTACAGAACTTCTACCTATAATGTAAAAGGAGTCCAAAGAAATCAAAGATGAGTGGATTTAAAATAGCCAAGCTTGATATTTTCATGAAAGCTGAAATCTCCAGTCTTTGGCCATGCTGACTGGGGATTTGATGAAGTGGAACTCATCGACTATGTGGGCACCAGGCTGGGGATTATTCCTCCAGATAAAACAACCGTCTTCCTTACCTGCCAGAGCAAGAGTGTCTTGATGTTCCTGAGGCGATGAGAAAAGAATGCTTGGGTTGATGTCTTTTGTGGTGAAATTCTCCCATGGAGGAGTTAAATCAGTCTGCCTATCAGTCGAATCTACTTCCACCTCCACAATGATATGGAAGAGATGGGGATATTTTTCTGGTGAATCACATGCATCCAGCTCAGGCCTAAAGATTCAAATTAATTCAAAGAAATGGTTTGAAGATCACTTGTTAAATCATATTTTGAGCCTGAATATAGTAGTGACAATTTACTTACACAATGTGATTCTTTTTAATTAAAGGACTAATGTTACTAAGGAAGAAGTCCTATAGAAGTTCCTAATAAAAATTGATTTAAGATTTAAGTATCTGAACCTTGGCGTGCATTTCTCATTGGAAACAAAGAAGGGTATTTTGGACTGAATGTGTTTATTTATTTTTATTGATTTATTTATTTGATTTGTCAATCACTTACAAGATAATAGATATAAGTATAAACATGAGTAAGAATACAGGAAATAGGTATGAATAAATGGGGACAATAGGACAGGGATGGTAGGCACGATGGTGCACTTATGCACTCCCCTTACAGACCTCTTAGGAATGGGATGGGGTCAATAGTGGTTAGTTTGAGGTTAAAGGAGTGGAGGTTAGGTTCCCAGACTCCAAATGAATAAATGCAGAAAATGTTTCATAGATGCCTGAAGGAAAAGATATATACAGTTCTTTTTAAGGCAGGTAAAAAGGTTCATTCACATTTAATGTTTTCTTTGATGAAAACCTTGTTCAGCTTGAGATAATTTTACAGAAATCCGTGACCCAACCAAAGTATTCACAGAAGAAGCTATGATCCTTGTAGCCTACTCAACACCTCTGTTAATACATCTCAGTTACTATCTCCTGAGCACTGACTTATTTCTTCAGCTAACAGAAAAGAGAAACATAATTATTAGCGCAGCTGAAAGGACTTAAAGGTAATTCTCTGGCTGAGTTAGTGCTGTTAGCTTCTCTAATTACCTAGATTCATCTCTATATAGGGGCTGGTTTGCAGGCTTCTGAGTGCTGGATCTTGCTCACTACTCAGATATTACATGAATCATGTAGGACAGAGCTGTCAAACGGTGGTGTCATGTGATGTATCACAACTTTTTCCGCTTCACTAAACCAAGCATGTGGCACATCCACGGGCCACGAGTTTGGCAGCCCTGATGTAGAATATCCAACCCTGATGCAGAAAAATAAGTTGAAATTAATTTTAAATTCCCATGTGGTCTAAATTTTGCAATAATTTGGCACTATACCATGAGTTTATTAGAATCTGCTTGGGCTTAATTTGATTTCTTCAAAATTAATTTTGATATGGTGGATGTTTTACTCACTTTTTGCAGCTAAATGTATTTCATTAATGCACTGTAATTATTCTTATGCAATTATATTCTATAACTTATTTTCAAAAATTCCTGGTTTGGAGGTAAAGTAAATATTTCTTATAAAGATATTTATTACAATAAGACCTCATAATATCCATTTTCATTCAGTTCAGTGTTCTAGAGATACTTACTTAGTAAATTTTAATGTTGTTGATTCCAGAGGTACAAATCCAGTGTGAAACTGAATCTGGAACATTTGTGTGTTTGTCATCTGTAAACATCATTAAATACATAATTTTAAAATTAAAGAAAACCATAGCAAAATTCAAATGTTTATCATGGAAGAACTATCAAGTCAGTTGTATTCACTTTATTTTAGTACAATAGGAATCAAATCAAAACAAAAAATATTGAAGCAATGAAGAAATAATAATTTGGTCTAGAGAGCCAATTTGCTCTAGTGATTAAGGGATCTGGCTAGGAACCAATAGACTGTGAGTTCAAATCTCACTTTAGGCATGAAAGCCGACCAAGTGACTTTGGCCTAGTCACTTTCTCTCAGCCTAACACATCTGATAGGGTTGTAGTTGTGAGGAAAATAGGAGGGGGAAAGAGTATTGACTATGTTTTCAGCTATTTATTTAAAAATGGGAAATAAATCAATAAATGATTAATTTGTTCACTTATTGTTGAATTCAGACTAGTGGCACATCTGTACATTCCCCTCTCCCCAAACTTAGAATCAAGGTATCTCATTGTTTTCTAAGACCAGGGGTGTCAAACTTACATCGTCACGGTGGCATCACATGACATATCAGGACTTTTCCCCCCCTCGCTAAACCAGGCGTGGGTGTGGCCAGTATGTGACACACCGGGCCCATGGATCAGGTGTTTGACATCCCTGTCTAGGACTGTGTACTAGGAATCATTGGATTTTGCTGACTGATTCAGGGCTGGATTAAGGCCAGCTAATGCAGTAAATACAGTCCAACAACAATGTCCATTGGCCTCTCCATTGCTTAACTCAGGGTACACCCAACAAGTGATAAAAACTAAAGTTGAGTTTGGCATGAAAGGGTTAAAGGCATGATAGCTGGGAGGAAATACACTGTGGTGCCCTAAGCACATTCTTATTTTGCTTAATGGTTGATCCAGGGCTGGACTGTTTGTGGAAGCAGGATTTTTCATATTACTCTTGACACAACCCTTGCCATATGCATGATGTGTGTTGCTTCTGCAGCAACCATGGTAATGAATGAATCTGCCCACTTCCTATTTGCTGACATCAAGTACTGGTATGAACATAATATTTCAGCAACAAATTTGTTCCTTCAGCTACCAAAGAGTTTTCAGTAAGAAACATCACAACTTTTCTAAATTTGCTTTTTTATATATACAAACATTTTAACTAAGAGAAACTACTGATTACTCTAACAGTCTTTCTGAGTAATATGCTTAAATCCAAGGTTTATATCATACTATTAAAATATTTTAGATCAGCTAAAGTTCCTGAATGTTTAACCTTGCATTTAAAAAATACATCAAGTCATACTTTAGCTTGCAGCCGTCCCCCAATGGTGGATCTCATATGGTAGACAGAAACAACTACATCACCATGGACAGTGACTCCTAGTGGAATAACAACTTTTCCTTCTTGAACACGGAATTCCCTAAGGAAAAAGCAAGCAGAACATTCTGCCTAACATGATATTCGTAAGGAATCACAACATAGAATTCACATTGAACAATGCAAACCCAGCAGTTGAACATTGCAGTTCGGTGTAGTTGAGTTGGATGGAGTCAAAAAGCACAGTGCTGGGATTAAAATAAAAATATTGTTCATTTTTATTCTGACTTCTATTCTCAAAAACTGTTTAATTCATAGATTATACAGACAACAATTCATATAGTAAATACTATACAACTCATATGACTTTCACTGCACCTCCATGTAAGCTGTTTATGATCAAACATTATCGTGTATTGACATAGTATTAGCAGACATGTGGCATTCAAGCTGCTCAAAAGCAAAAGCAAAACTTCAGAGGAAGGCACAAAATAGCATCAAATGTATGGAATGCATGAACCGTAGATGCATGAAAGGGTTGGCTAATTGATGTCAGTCTGAAGGGAGGTGTGGATGGATGGATGAATGTAGGATATCTTCACAGATATGAGCACTTCACGCAACTGAGATTTCCATCTCCCTGAAGGAAGCAGTAGCTGCTGAAATCCAATCAACATCAATCATAATTGACTGAAAGCCTGGGTGCCTAGGTCATGTGGAATTAGCTCACCTGTGTTACCATAGGTATATACATATTAAACAACCAAAGTGGGATTTTATCAGTACAGTCAGCAGAGAGCAGCTTACTTCATTCTTTCATATTCCAGTGATGTTGTAAATATTCTAGTTTCTCCAATAAGGATGTCACAGAAAGGTCGGCAGCCATTTCTCTGCTTGTTGAAACAGGGCACTGGACTAAGGAGGACTGATTTGATGGTTATAGGCTTGCAGTGAGGCTGGACAGGTTTGTCTGCTATTAGATCACAAATATACCCTAAATACCTGAAATGAAAAAGGGAATTCATAAAAATCTACATGTATTCTTTGTTCTTTGGCTCTACAGGGAACTTGGTTGATTATCATAATGAAGATTTTCAACAGCACATCCTACAGTCAAGAAAATTTAATTTTTAATGCATGCTTGCCAACATTAATGTCAAAAGAGCAAATGTAGTGAAAAATCCTGAATTAATCAAGGGGAAAAACAAATAAAAATACAGATTTGACATATCTGACTTAAAAACTACAGAAACAAGCTCTCCCTGCCTCTAAGATAATGAGCACTTAGTATGGAAAAGTGACAAAAAAAATTCTGCTTCATTTTGCTGCTGCTTTTCTGAAAACCATCCCTTCTAACTATTCCTATTTCCACCTACCCATCAACCAGTTGGATGGCAAGCTGCCCAGAAGAGCACAGGTCCCAAAATAAATTGTGTGTAGCCCATGCTCAGCCTTGCCATAGAACTTAATCAGTTTTCCCAACACTATTGTCCCCACACCGCCCCATGGGTGTTATAGTATAACTTCTATCATGAGTCCCACTTGGGAAGATAGAACCAGCCTAAGGAAGTCTGATGTAGACGTTTCTGTCCAAATAACATTTTTCTATTTTTGAAAAGGTGATGACTTCCTGTCTAAAACCATATCTTTATATTCTTTGGGAATAACTGAAGATTCTTGCATCCACATAATTGGAAGAGTCTAACTTTAACAGGAGTCTCTCGATATATGTTTGAGAATGCAGCTGTAGAAAAACAGAAGTGTAAAAAGCTTCAATAACATCGAATGCTTGACACTATCATTGAAAACCTTTTAAAACCAAGCTTCAGCCATTCAACCAAATTTGATAAAACTGTTTACATTGATTTGAGTGCAGTTAGGAAGCTGTTAGAGAACCAGTTTGGTATAGTAGCTAAGGCACTGGGCTAGAAACCAGGAGATTGTGAGTTCTAGTCTTACATTAGGCACAAAGCCAAATGGATGACCTGGCACTAATTACTCTCTATCTCAAGGGTCTTCAAACTTGGCCAATTTAAGACTTGTGGACTTCAACTCCCAGAATTCCTGAGCTAACATGACTGGAGGAGGAATTCTGGGAACTGAAGTCCACAAGTCTTAAATCTGTCAAGTTTTAGGTTTTTTTTAACTTTTTTTATTCAGTTTTTCACATTAAAAACAAAAATCTCTTTTTAGTGGACAACATATTTCCGGGTCATCAACTTTACATACAAATATGACAGCAATTATACATTCATATATGCATACTTAATTCTATTATTACCTTTTCCATTCCAAATTTTCAGTAAGGAGAGAAACAAACACATTAATTCTAGCCTCTTTCATTAATCTCAATCGAAACATCTTTTTGTTTCATTTCAATTATTTCAAATATAATACTTTAATATTTATTTTAAAAATAAAGATAAACAAAATGTTTGAATAATAATAATAATAATAAGTTACCAATGTCTCTCCTTGCTTTTAATAGTCTATATTAACTTATTAATTTAGTTGGTTCCTTAGTCTGTCATATTCCCTTTCCATTACACATTCTTTTTATAAATTCTAGATTAATACAAATTTTAACACTAAAGAAAAAAAAAACAAGTATAGGTTTCCCCCCTTTTACTGCTTTGAGTGTGACACCTCAATGATTAAAATATACCTTTATTCCCTCATCTGGATTCCCAATAAACCATTATTTTTAAGAAGTTACAAAAATAATCATTACATCTTTTCATTTGGATTCCACAGCATATTTTCTCCCCTTAATTTTTAATAAAAGTTATCAGTATCTATATTACCCTATTTTCTAAATATTTTTAATTGCAGAAATATTCTTGTTACCCCTTGTCACTCTGCAGAATCACCTTTTTAATTCATCAACCATTATTTCTTAAAAAACAATTTCTTTTCAACGTTTTACTATTTCCGTATTTATTTCATGCACCTGTTTCTTACTGCTTCTCCTCCCCCTCTTTTCCCCATATCTTTTCTCATTCCAGTTTATATCCCTCTCTTTCTTAATATCTTCCTTTCCCCTTTTCTGCTGGGTCTTTCTGCCTTTCCCGACTTCATAGGTATTCCCCCTTTTGATTGCCTTCTTAAGTCTCAACTTTTTAACCTTCCTTCTTTCCCCACTTCTTTGTAGTGTTCTTTGTGTTGATTGTCTATTAAAAATGTCTTCTCCTTGAGTCGACTCCTCCTCCTCTGAAGCTTTTTCTTCTTGTTCTTCAATCGCCATTTCCATTTTTTCTAACACAGAGCAAAGTGAGTTGTCTCTTTCCTGTAGTAATTCTCTCATATTTTTAAGTTCCATTTTTAATTCCCGAAGAGATATCATCATTACACACTCTTGTATTTTATGATCGTTAAAGTCCACAAAAAAAAAAAACACACACACACTTTTACTTTCCTTCTTTCTTCTTTCAATTTTCTAAAGTTCTCAATTATTCCAGCCCACAGTCTATACCAAAAACATCCATCAATCCCACAGTCAGTCTTTCCTTGCTTTTTTCTTTATTCTGGTTCTGCTTTCACTTTCTAAGATTCTTACTTTGTTTCAATATTTCTTTATCCACACAAGTTCATTCAGAAACAGAATGCTTTCCCTTTTGTTTGAGCGCAGGTTTTTGTCGGGTGACACTCTCCATTATACAAAGTCTTCATCTTTTTCCCCTATTTTTTTGTTTAGGGTTTTTCGAACTTCAATATTCCAGCACAGTCCAGTCTCCAATTTGTAAACTTTATTATTATTATTTTTTGACAATCTTAAGTCCAGCTTTATTTTATGTCTGTTTATTGCCAAAATATTTTAGTCCAATTTACTTAAATCTTTAGTTCCGGCTTCTTCCTTTCCCGGTTTGAAGCCCCACTTAGCTGTCAAAAATATTTTCTTATTTTTTTTCCTGTCCTTTTGTCATTTCGCCGCTCACTTTTCTTTTCTTAAAAATTCCATGTTATCTTAATCCCGGGGTACTTTTGTTTAGTTGCATTGCCCAATTGTCCCGGTTCAGATGTCATCCACCTTTTTCTTCCCTCTTGCACAAAGCTTAATCCAGTTGAGTTCTCCTCTTCGGGGTGGCCATTTTAAACCACCGCTGCAGTCGTCTTTGGGGGGGAAAAGACCAAGCCCAGGAGGGGAGATGCGGCTCCCCTCAACCTGGCTTGCAGCTTCCCCTTACTCCGCTGCCCCTCCAAGGCAGTTTCAGCCCCTAATCGTAATGATCGGGGCTCTCCAATGAAAGAGAGCCACAGAGAGTCATGATCTATGGTCCATCAGTGAGGAGACTTCACCTTCCAAATCTGTCAAGTTTGAAGACCCCTGCTCTATCTCTATGCCCTGGGAAAAGGCAATGACAAAAATTCTTGCTATAAAAACTGCAGGTATTTGCCCAGGTAGTCACTAGGAGTCAACTCTCTCTAAGAAAAAATAAAAATAAAGATAGCTGTTGGTGTTAAAAAGGAATGAGATTGACTAAAATCTGGATCCAGAAACTAAGAACCATGATGGTGCAGTGGTTAAAATGCAGCATTGCAAACTAATTCTGCTGACTTCCAGGAGTTCAATTCTCACCCACTCAAGGTTGACTCAGCCTTCTATCCTTCCAAGATTGGTAAAATGAGGACACAGATTGTTGGGGGCAATAGGCTAACTCTGTAAACTGCTTAGAGAGAGCTATAAAGCACTGTGAAGCGGTATATAAGTGTAAATGCTATTGCTATTGCTAAGTGAATTAGTATCCCCTGATATAGCAATAGCAATTAGACTTATATACCACTTCACAGTGCTTTATAGTCCTGTCTAAGTGGTTTACAGAATCAGCATACTGACCCCAACAATCTGGGTCTTCATTTTACTGACCTCAAAAGGATAGAAGATTGAGTCAACCTTGAGCTTGGTGAGATTCGAACTGCCAGATGGTAGGCAGTCAGCAGGCAGCAGAAGTAGCCTGCAATACTGCATGATATAATACAGCAGTTGCCAACCGATGGGCCGTGGCCCACTGGTGGTCTGTGGCAAAATTTTGGTGGTCTGCAGAGAAATGGCAGAGTAATAGCCCACAAAAGCAATTAATCTGGGCCACGTGGGAAAACAAGGCTGCTCTGCCCACATGACCCACCCACCCACCCACTGACCCCCACCCTTTGGCCAAGTGCAAACCTTGAGACTGAGAAGAGAGTCATGTGAGATGTACCTGGAAGGTAAGACCAATGGTGGGTGAGGGAAATCCACCCTGGGGTGACTTGCTAATGTTGGTGGGAAAGTTGGTCCCATATTCCAGAGATGTAGTAGTCACAGGACTGGCCATTTGGCCATCCCGGAGCAGTTCCTCCATCAGGATGACTACACTCTGAAATATGGGACCGGCCCATGGTGGCTGGAATGAGGTAATGGTGCTGTTGTGGGGTGGGCTGCGGGCTGAAGCGTGGTGGCTGAAAGAAGCAGTACTCACATTTTCATCGCCCTTCACCACGATATATTTATGGTAGCTGGTGGTGCCATGGCAGCCCCTCGTGTCCTGCCACGTCTGTAGTGCAGCAGAGAGAAACAGCTTGAGTCAACCCTAACCCTGCATATGCTAAATCGGCCCCTGCGAACTGTTGTCTCTGTAGCTGAAGCAGTGTGAGAAACCGGCCGGGCTCTCAAGAGGCAAGAGTGACTCTAGCTGCTTCTCTCGTCTCTCTCAAAGAGCGCCCGATAGCTTGGCTGGAGGAGGAACCTCTCTCATCCCCCACTCTGCGAGGTGGGTGGCGGGGAAGCGGCACTTGGGAGGAGCAGATCGGCCACTGCCAGGCTCTGTGGTTTCTCTCCCGCTGAGGGTGCAGCCATCGGGCAGGGAGGAAACAGTGCCCGGCTCCCCTCCCGGGGCAGGAGAGGTAAGGAACAGCAGAAGTGGCAGATGGAAGGCTGATGGAGGAAAGCAACTCTCCTCTTGTGGGGGGGGGGGTGAAGGTGTCAACCTCTCCCCCTTTCCTTGCCTGCCTCCAGGTGAGGCTGGAAGAGCCCTAGCATCCCCGTCCTGGAGCACCCACTTTCTCCCCTTCCCCCCCCCCAATTAATCAAGGGCAGCAGTCCTTCTGCAGGAAGCTGCCTGCTGAGAAGCCCCTGGAGGGGTGGCCGAGGGGTGCTGCCCCTCAAAGAGAGCAAAGCCCCCTTTCTGCCTCTGCTTCTCCCAGCGGCAGTTGCCCTAAGGCCTCTCAGCTCATACCCTCCCTTGCTCTTCTGTCTCTTCGGAAGATGCAGGTGGGGGAAGGGATGGAAGCAGCCCTGCCCTCCTTCCCTCCCCCAACTCCAGGCAGCCACAGTTGCAATTAAATAAGTGTGTGTGTGTATGTATGTATGTAATACATATGTGTGTGTGTGTGTATGTGTGTGTGTGTGTTTTCTCAAGTTTGTGCGGGTATTTATATGTATGGTATTCAGCTTTGTTTGGGTATTTCTGGGTCATTTATATATATATATATA